ATGCAGCTGGCCATGTTGAAGAAGTAGAGTGTCATGAAGACGAACGTGCAGCCCTGCCTCTTGGTGCCCTGCGCGATGGTCGCCACCATGTCGTCCAGCTTTGGGTACTCGGGCGGGGAGTCAAACGGCGCGTTACAGGCGATGCCGTCGCCCATGGCGTAGGCGATGACGTACGTCACCGACACCATGAAGTAACACAAGCTGATGAAGATGATGGGACGCTCCGGGTAGCGGAAGCGCGTGGTGTCCAGCAGGAAGGTGAGGATGGTGAAGGCGCACGAAGCGAGGCACAGCACCGACCACACGCCCACCCACTCGCGCGCGAAGCCGCGCTGCCACTGTGAAAAGAACATGCCGCGACACGGCGCGCCGCAGTCGGCCGTCTCCCGCTCGCCCACCCGCAGCCGGTACGACAGGCCCTTCGGCACGCGGAACTGCACCGGGCACACGAAGCCGAAGTCCTTGCCGTCGGGCGGCTGCAGGTCGGTGGCGGGCGTGGCTGACGGGCTGGACGTCTCGTTCTGTGCGGCGCAGAGCACGCCCGGCGCCGACTCCGGGAACTTGGAGCACTCCAGCTTCTCCGGCCACTGGAAGCCGAACTTGTTCATCAGGCTGACGCAGCCGTTGCGCGCCGAGAGACAGAGCGAGCGGCACGGCGGCAGCGGGCTCTCCAGCTGCGTGCAGACGGGCGCGTACATCAGGCAGAGGAAGAGCTGCAGGTCGGGGCTGCACTGCACCTTCACCAGCGGAAAGAACTGGTGCACCTCCTGACCGGCGTCGTCCTGTGTGGCGTGACCCAGCAGGTTCGGCATGATGGTCTTGTTGTACTGGATGTTCTTGCACAACTGGATGTCGATGGGCTCGCCAGCGGTCGTGGTGCGGGAGGAAGTCGCCGTCCACCACCTCTGACCCCCGCCGCTGCGCTGCCGACGGCCCGGCCGCGGCCGCCAGCAACGCACATGCCAGCAGAGCGCACGCGCGCATTGCGAGCAGCAGGCGGTCCACTGGAGAAGCGAATGTCTGAGCACTACGCTAGGAGCGATCCGGCCCTGTATCACAAGCACATGCGCATTTTCACGAAAACTTGAGAGTCTACCGCGCGGAACCGCAGCGCAGCGACCACACCCGCCCGCGACCGCTCGCTGTCTGGCCGCCAGCGGCGCTGGCGCCCAGACGCCGAATCGCGCCATCTGATTGGTCGCGGGCTTCCCGCTCAACCAATCGTATTGGGTGAGATATTTTTATGAAAGCTGTTACACTCAAAGTGATTGGTTCAAAGACAACGGGAGTTGAGTGAGGCAGAGGCGGACGTAGTTTGGCGCAGAACCGGAGCGCATTGTGGGCTTACAAAGGCTGTGAGCGCACGTACCATCGCAGCTCTCATAAGCAACCCGCTGGTAGTGACACATCTTAGTACAATGGCCCTTTCGCTTGCAGCGACAGAAAAATGGCGATTTTAAAGAAAATATTGAGGGAAAGTTAGGATAAAGACGCATGCTGCAAGGTAAAGCAAGGACGAATCAGTGACATGCATAGCCTTACAAAGAGCAAAAGTGTCTAGCGTGTCAAATCTTAATAAACATTATAAGACTTGTCTCATTCCATTCTTCCCACTCTGTATATAGATGAGAAAGTAGTAATAGCCTTGTCCCTCTTACAAAAACCAGGGGGATGAAATTATAGGTACGTTGATATTTCAGAAACATGTCTTGATCGAAACGTATAGCAGAAGCAAATTCAACATTGCCTGCCGATTATCCTGCTCGATTTTTCAGGTCTCTTTTTTTCAACAGCGAGCCACAGGTTTGACAGGTCACTAACATCCAGGGGGTTAAACAAGGAGCAATTGCCAGCCATGACTACGACACAATGCCTATCTAAATAATAATTGAAATACGTTAAAAACGCATGTACATACAAACGAATTCAAGTAAGCAGGTGTTACGTATCACGCTTCATTCAAACATGCAAATGATTTCAAACAGTCGTCGCGCATTACGTGTTAGGCGCCATCATGTCATGCAGTAACTTTGAAGCAGCAAACAATCACCATCCATGCGTTATGATATTATATGTTGTTTATATACGTTTATGATTAATAGTATCATTTGGCGTAATTAGTCAACTGGGCCTGTACTTAAAGTGTGGTCGCCGACTTTTCACAAGACCGAGTCATTTATTTTCCTGTCTGGGTGGTCCTGTGCTCCGTAGGTGACTTTGAGCTCTAAAAGGTACATTGGATCTATATCTCCCTGGATTCATCCTGAGCATGTTGTGAGCAAAAATAAGCCGAGAGGGGTATTCCCTGTTTTGTTTTTAGTGTCTCGTAGGTGTTCATGCTATCTCAAACTAATAGGACACATGGACTCCCTGACATAGACTATGTCCCTCCCGTGTTTTCACACAGTTTGCACTCAATTTTGCAAACCATGTGTTTTGTGTGTAGGCCCCTTGAAACCCAGCCTTGTATGAATGCCATCCGTTCCCATCTTGGCACTTAGGCTGCGAGATAGAAGATAGCACCAGAGACTTCTTTATGTTGTTGTTGTTTTTGTTGTTGTTGTTCTTGAAAGCAATCCGTGCGCGCAGTCTTAATTTTCTAACGATATGTTTGAGTTTCCAAAGATGCACCTAATGACTTCCCACCCTGTGGTTGAAACGAATGGGGAATGGTGCCAGATTTTTTCCAATTTCATTCGTGCTAAAGAGAGTGGACCACCTTTATGTACCTTTCCCTTGTTGTTTGATCAGACACGTACGATTTCATCAGAAACACAAATTGTATCCTGGTCCTTCTGAACAACTCAGAATTTTGATTTGAATTAGCCGCTCCTGCGGATATTTTTTTTTTAAATGTGCCCGAAGGTGGGACAATCCGTTCAAGGGGTTAAGGGGTTAAACAGTAGCTCTGGAGGCAACGTCTGTAGATCAAGGTAGGACTGTGGTAAGTAGGTTGAGCTACCTACCATGACCGCTCTGTTTTCTGTCCCACGCCTTTGATTGCTTTAATCAGACTTAATTGAAGTGGAGCTCAATTGAAAGCAGGCAATCTGACCAACACGGTGAGAATAGAACGCTTGTGGTGTAGACCATTACCTACGACGGAATACGTCAAAACCGTTTACGGGACAAGGTCTACTGAAAAAATCGTGCTTGGGTCGACAACATAAAGAGGTGCATTGCTTTTTCCTGATTTCTTAAGCATGTTCTCCAAAAAAGAATTCCGTTATGAGGCAATAAGTTTTAAGGTTCTGGTAAAAAAAAATGTACCCTAGCGAAGTATGACCACGGCAGTGACGCTTTCACGATGCGGTACATCATAAGTCCTTTGAATTACGACCGAAGTTGAAGTGTGAAGCTGGTGGGAATCACTTGGTGGGACTTGTGTGCGCTAAAAGGCCGAAATGACTATTTTTGTTTGGAAGCACGGATGACCATTTTTTGTTTATTCTGACAATATAAATGCAGTTCTGCTCGGAGGGCCGGATCCCTTGAGTACGACTTGTGCTCGTTTGTTTGGGGCGTTCTCGTCATCCCGAGGTGTCATACTTATGTCATTTAGAGCCTGTTGGTAGCACGTAAAGCCTTGGACGGGTTTTTGTTAAAGGGAGTGTGTCTAGTCAAGTTGAGAGTTTTAACGATGCACGTGGAATGGTAGGGAATTTGGATGCAAAAATTTTGGTGTCATTGGTTTCTACCAATTCGCCTCCATTGACGAGATATTGCCACAGCCCCCAAATTGTATTTGGTTTGTATGGAAGAGCGAACTTATCGGGTAGCCCCCAAACAATATTCACTAGTTAACACATCGATGCGATTGAGAAGGTATCGTTAGCTCTAGCCAATGGCTTTTCGAGGATGTTGTTTGTCAGCGCTGACAGCAGCTTGCAAACGCAGTGATGGCGGCGGCCATTATGCTTGCTTTTTACGTTCTGCTGAGGGCTGCTGCTGCACGTGGTTGGCCATATGGTGAGGCTGGTCGGTTAATGCGCACCACGATCAATTCATGTTGACGTACTTTACGCTGCATTAGGCTCTGCGAAAATATAATTGTTCTTCGCCGTTTTGGCAACGGCTAAAGGCAGCAAGATTACTCTGCCCTGACATTAATGACCGAATTCCGGATGCACGTGCATCGAATTCAGCGCCCTAAATAACAAGTCACATGCGCTGAAACTGTTCCTGCGATGTCGCTGGTACACCAATCATGTTCAGGATATCAAGTTTTTCCGTCTCGAATTACGCAAGGGATCTTCAATTGCGCACCGTTCTACACCGCCAGCGCTCTCCCTATACGCACGAGACCGCAGCAACCGGGATAATGACCATGCCACCAGCACGCAGTTACTCGCCACATATAAGCCAGTGCATTCGTCCTTTCCGGTCCGCTGATTGGTTCATGTTTTAGCATTGTATCTGTTCATGTACAATCATCAATGTGATCGATAAAGTAAATAAGTAAAAACTATTGCAAGATCCAAGCGCACATTTAAACACCAAAATTGGGTATAGATAGTTGTAAAACTCCCCATAGACGTGTATTTGGAAAGCTGAAAACACTAGGCACATTTTCTTTAATGGGCCGACTTCTCTTTTACCGTTTGGGACGAAACCAGGTGTCGTCTGCAGGATGAAAAGGCAATTTACAGTGGAAATGTAAGAAGGTTCAGGGAGTCTAAAGGCTCAACTAGGGATGTTTATATCAGAGTTTCCTGCCACAAGTTATCACAAACAAGACGCTCTTCAGCTACACGATAACGTCAGAAAAGACGCCATGCCAGTGACCATATCATGCTGAACATTCGCAGTCCCTGCTGACTCAGTCTGGTTGCAAAAACGCTACGCCAGGCTACTGACTAAAACACAATGGCTGACGGCCACCCATGCTGTATCATGGGATGGTTTCTACAGCCAGTAAGGGCACACGCTAATACAAATTATGAAGGATGATATGATGAAAGCCCGGCGAATTTAAGTAACTCATTTTCATCTAGCATTTCCTTCTCCCTTAAATGGTCTCATTGGCAGTCAACGCGATCAAAATTGTCTCATGGGTCAACCTTTCAAAAGTTTGCTCATCAGCCACTCAAGATTGCATATTCACACGGCCGCTGAACGGCAGCCCGACGAACAGAGAGACTGTTAACGGCACAGCTATGCAACATGTGACTTTCAATAAGTACGGTGCCTCAATCTATACGCTGAAAATAAGCCCATAGTCTACGCCAGGATTAAGCCCACATAGTCAAGGTGCACGGTTAATCTGCATATTATCGTATGTTTCAACCAATAGTAAATATACGACCGGAGTAAGCCTACAGTCGTTGTATTAGCATCATCAAGCAGATCAGAGCACAAATATCAAAATTCCTTGAACGTCGAACAATCTAAATTGTGCGTCACTCATGTATGTGATTATACCTATGTTTTTTACGATTTCAAAGTGCGAGAGACAAGAACATTCTTTGATGGGAAGCTGATCGTGCCCACGCATGCGGAGCGGGAGATCTGCATGTACGTACTACGCTAATCTGGTGCGTAGTACAGAGGCTGCATGGTTGACAGTATACACGTGTCACACGGCAAGTTTACCTGTATGTTAGTCTACCAGTTTTCAGGAAGTCAGATTTTTTTACAGGATTCATATGTACCAAGGATCACGTCTCTCTCAATGGTATTAACCAGTGGCTGACCCATGGGAGTTCACGTGACCATGTCCGTCCTCATAGAGCTGGGAAGGGGCCTTCGCAGAGGCTATAACAGGCCGAACAGACGCAGTTTTCAACGAAAAAAGTTTTAACAGGGCACTAGTGAGACATGTAATGACTTTGGAAGCATAAATGATTACATGAACACGTTTCGATTACAAAGAGTTCACTTCGATAAAAGAATTAACAGCTAAAAGCTATGTAACGAACTAATTCCTGGAGGAATCTGTAATACTAGTTGATGACTAACGGAGTGGCTTTTACACCGTTCGAATCCTTGTGGATGTATTTTTTCAACAGCTTCCAAACTAGCCAAAGCCGGCTAGCTGGGTCGGCTAACAGCTCCCCGCGGCTACTCGATCGACGGCGTCTAGCCAGCTATTGGGCTAGCCGAAAACAAGCCTCATTGATCCGGCGGAATAGA